ATCTGGGAATCCCTTTGGAATGGGTTAAGGTCTGGTTGGGCTTTGGTTCCGGGCTGGGTCTGGGGGGTGTCTGGGCAGCATTGCTCCGTGCTGGCCCGGGTGAGCCCAGGCCCTGCAGTGGCCAAGCACTTCCAGGGCACCCGTGGGTGTCCTGGGGTTCAACCTGACCCGACCCACCGCCTGAGCGGGCACTGAGGGACGGAGTTTGCTCCCTCTGTGGTTCCCTGGGACAGGGGCTTGGAGAATGCTAAGCCCTCAGACGGCAAAGCTGGTGTTACCACCTCTCCACCCTCCTCCTCCTCGTTCCCAGCACTACCACCCCAATCCCATCCCAGAGAGCCGGGCGAGTTTTGCCCTGGATCTGGTTCCAGAGAGCCCCGTGTAGTCAGATGCTTTAAGGTCCTTTCCACAGCCTTGCTGGGAGGGACTGATGGCCAGTTCCAGCACGGACCCCTGGCCAGAGGGCATTCACAGGGGGCTCTGCAGATCAGGGGGGTGGATGCTTTCTGTTGCCTCCCTTTAGACTTTGGCTCCATCTCTTCCTGCCCTGGGCAGGATGCAGGGACAGGAGGATTTGGTCCCAGCATTCAAGCCAGGTGTTATCTTGAGAACATCTGTGATCTTCCCTTTGTAGCTTGAGCCAGATCGGAGCTGTGGGCTTGTCCTGGTGCTCTGAGCAGCCAGAGGCTGAGCTTACACAGAGCTCCTGGCCAGTTCCATCCCATCCTAGGTAGGGACATGTCACCCCATGTGCTCCCTCAAGCCAGTGTGGGCACAACTCCTGTAAGACATGGATCGTAGGGACAGCCAGAGTGAGGGGAGTGCTCCTGGCTGGGCTCTGGGATTGCTTTAATCCAGGATAGCACTTCAGCATGTCCTTGGCTCCAGCACATCCCGGAGCATTTCATGGGATCTTGGCCCAGGAGCTGCTTTACAGATGCATTGAGCAGCCATGACGTCCCCATGGGCTGGGTCACTCAACCCTCCAAATCCAGCCCGTGTCCCTCTCCCTGTCCCAAAGTAGCAGGAAGACGGGGCGATGCTTCTGCTCTGTTGCCTTTCAAAGAAGCATTTTAAAATAAGATTTTTTTTTTCTGTTTGTTTGTTTGTTTTTAACCAAAAAGGAGAAGAAGAAAAAAAGTTTGTGTTGATGGGTATTAAAAAAAGTTAATAATAATAAACACTCAAATTTATTTCATATAATCCTAGAGTAAAGATTAAAAAAAAATTAACTAGTTCAAATAGTAGATGCTATCCATATTGTTTAATCTATAGTAGATCCAAGTGATCCCAGACAGAGCAGAATGTAAAATAAGCTTGTGAACACGATCATTGTTAACTTCCCCAGGAATTCCATCTTTTTTTCGTCCTATTTTTCTGAAGCAAACAAATAAACTACCAAAAGCCTAACAAAATAACAGCCACCGACTGGTACCTTCTGTCAATCAAAGTCCTGAAGCTATTTTTATAGAGGGGAAAAAAAAAGAAAAAAAAAGGGATCTAATAATATGTATTTTTTTAAAAAGATACGTTTGGGGTTTTATGTTGCTTTTTTAATAAAAATAGACAGATTTGGCTAGTCACAGAACAAAATAAGGAAGTTTTAGGCCATTAATTTTTGCCTTATTCTGACTTCCAGCCTTGGGCTTGAAGTGGGAAATTGCAGAAAAATGTTAAAGTTGCTGTTACTTTCCTTGGACTGTTCTTGGTTTTTGAACTTCTCCAAGCACCAAAGGTGTGGGAGGGTCCCGAGACGGGCAGGTGGGACTGTCCTGAGTGGGAAGGTGAAGGAAAGGAAGATTGGGTGATCTCCCCTCTGTAAGGTGATGGACAGAGCTCGAAGGCAGCGAGGTGCCGTGCGGAGGCTCTGCCCTTGCACTGGGCAGGGACAGGGCACTAGAGTTGGTTTGTTCCCTCTTTGTTTTCTTTCTTTTTTTGATTCTCTCTCGCCCTGGTTGCGTTGCACCAGAAGACGCCATGAGCCTTGGGACGAGCTCCTGCTTGGCATCTGGCACCTCCCAGGAGGCCAGATTTGGTTTGTCAGGTGTTTCCTTACCCAGCCTCAAACCATCAGGTTCTAGCATTGGAGCTGCGGGTGAGATCTTTGCAAAAGTCCCTGCTGACCCAAGAGGTCCTTCCCGCAGCTGTGCCAAGCCGTGGCATCCCTGATCTCACAGTTTTGCTTCCTGACAGCCGCCCCGACAGTGTCCTGCTCACGGGAGGGGGACACTTGTGGCACACACCTGGTTTTTGGCTGCGAAAGCAAGGAGGAGGCTGAAGGTCACTCTTGACCGGCACAGCGTGTTGGGCTCTGGCCATATCCTGAGTCCCTGCAGTGCAAAGAGTGGGACTGAGGGCTCCCTGAGCTGGTGGTGCACGGTGGTGTGCTGGGCTGGCTGGCAGGGCTGTGCACGCTGGCGGAGTGTTCCAGAGATGGCAGATCCACTCTGGGCGCTGCAGGGCAAGGTAGCGCAGCCCTGGCTCTGGTGGTGGGGCAGGATGTGCCCCATGCCCCCGCCAGCTGCTCCATGTGTTTGAGAGCCAAGCTAGCACTTCTCTGCAGAGCATTGGTGATGCTTTTCGCTGCACCAAAATCTCTCTTTACAGGATAGAACTCAGAAAGAAATGACCAAGCGCCAATGCCGTTGTTAGCAAAGCTCAGTGCCACAAAGAAAACACGCTTGGAAGGTGGTTCCCTCTGGGTTTAGCCTTTGCTCCTGTCCTCTGTGTCGTGGCTCAGCCACAGCAAACCCAGGGATGCCCTGCAGCTCGGGATCATCCACACAGATCCCAAAGCCTTCAAGAAGCGTGGTGGCTGCCCCTTGCTCCCTGATGGCACCTGCTTCAGGTGGCCAGGGCAGCTGTAACCAGCATTCATCACTCAGCAAAGCCATGCAATAGGTCAGGACAGGAATGAAGACAGTTCTCATTCGGTTTCTGCATATAAATAAATAGCACTGTGAATCCAGGATCCCTCCCTGGGACCCTCCCGGCACACGGGGGCATTTCGGGAAGCAGGGCACGATGTCTCCCGCGCTTCCAGAGGAGTTCGTGCTTGGTGGAATCAAGCGCCTGGTCCTTCCCTGCTGGGGCGGTGAGGTGGCCTGTTTGCTCTTTCAGTTTTGCTTTACCTCATTTTTTTGTTTTATACTTGAAGAAGCGTCAGTGATGGACATTGTACAGTGGTACCCTGGACTGGAAAGTGGATGCACTTTATCATCACTTGTGTACGGACAGTGAGTCCCATCCTGCCTCTGCCCCAGCAAGGCTTCCTTGGGGGCAGCAGAGCCAGGGTGGGCTGGTTCTTCCAAAACCCTTTTGAGGATGTTAGGGAGCAATCTCTGTGTTTTAGTGTGGGTTTTCACATACTGTAGAAACTCGAAGTCATATTCTGCTGTCAGTTGACCTGGTGAAAAATTCAGCTGAAATTGTGCTGGGAAGACTTGCCTGTGCCATGCCAGTGGGAGATGGCAGAGATTGGGCAGCTTCTGCTTCCCTCCTGTGTGACTCCCCTGTTCCAATGGGGTTACTCTACTGGAATCTGGAGTTGCTTCAGCCCTGGCAGCCCTGGCAGGCTGCACCATTCCCGCTGGATCCGCTCCAGCGTCACTTCAGGGCTGCTAATGGAGCAAATTGAAAGTCACCCCCAGTAAAGTGACACTAATGTAAAATCTGGAGTTGTTCCACTGGTATCTTTGCAGGGATACGAAAATGAAGCTCCCCTCTGACAGTGGCACTGGGTTGGTGATGGCAGGATGTGCTTTTTTGGATTTGTGATGATGCTTTGGAAACAATTTGCAGAGAAACAGAGCAGGGAGACGGAGCAGTGTGGTGTGGCTGAGGAGATCTGCTCTTGGCTCCCGAGAGCTGAGTTGGAAGGTGCAGTCTCAGGCTGCTTTGCTCATCTGTGAAACCACTGGCATTCTTTTTTCCTTTTTCTTTATGCCTTTTGTTCAAGATAATCATAAAAAAAGAGGAAAAATAAAAAGACCAGGGGCTGGATCCTGTGTTGCAGTATGGGATTTGCTCCTGGGTTAGAAGCAGTGTTAAGCAAACATGAAAGGTGATGGGCATGAGGGCTGGTGGATCCCAGACTGGCAGGTCTGATCGAGCTGCAACCACTGTGGAGCTGGCTCTGATCCCAGCCCCAGGCAAGCCAGGGAAATCTCCAGGGATGCCCAGAGCAGCCCCCAGGCATCTGGCTGCACAGTCGGGAGCCTGTGGGGCTGCAGAGGATTTCCTCCGGCTCTGCCCTGGTATCAAAGAGATCCAGGCTTCAGCTTACTGCCCTCGGGACGCTGTTAGAGCAGCTCCAGTGGGATTTCCCATGTGAGACATGAGGTGAAACGAAACCCAAGCCACAGGGTCTCACAGCAGCCTATCTCACCGATACCCACACAGGGAAGGGCAGCCCTCCCCAGCCCTTCATGGCTTTGCTTGCCCAGCACTACGTTGGCTCCCCCTCATCCTCACTCCAGATTGCTGTACAAGTTGGCGTGTATCCGCTTTCCCTCGGGTCCGGGCGCTGTCGCGGGTCCTGCTCCACGGTACTCCCACCTTGCGCTGAGCCAGTGGCCACGGAGTCGCCCGGTGATTCCCGGCCGTCCCGACTCTGTGGCCCTTCCATTTAAAGTCCGTTCCCTATTATGTTGTGTTTGCTATTTTTTTTCCCCCCCTTTTCTTTTAATGTCATAGGAAACCTGTAGTCGGGATTGTTACTATTGGAAACCAATCACATATTCCATCCAGGTATTTTCATCTCTCCGGCGTTACGCAAAAATAAAGGCCTGAGAGAGAGATGTAACCGAACATAGAAGTAGAGTTAGGCTCGTTGTCTGAGTTTTGAGGCATATAGTATAATGGGAAAAGGAAAAAATTAAAATAAAATAAAATTAAAATAATGATGTTGCACAACTTGTAGAAAACAAAGAAGGGAAAGGGTTAATGTATTAAATGTGCTAAATTACATTAAGAACTTAATTTTATTAAAGTATTATTACTTAAGAAACTCAGTATCTGCTCTTGGTTTCTGTCTGTCCATGCTTTAGGAGGGGGCAGGAGCAGTGGTTGGGAACAGGGCCCTGAGGGGCCAAGTTCCAAGGCAGTGGGGCCAGACCTCCCTCTGCTACCCCTCCTGGGTCTCCCACCAGTCCTGTGCCTTTGGCAGCACTTCTTGGGGTTTGTTAGAGCATTTTGAGATGGTGAGCCCCCTGCACCAGCTGCTGCTCCCAGTCCTGGTGCCAGCAGGTCCATGAGCCAGCCTGTGCCACGTTTCACCCTGCCCGCTTCTTCATCCCTGCAGAAATCATCTGAAAGCTGGAAAGCCTGGAACAAAACTGAGGTGCTGAGCCCAAGTGTCTCCACGAGCCTAAATGAACTCATCATCCCACATGTCCGTGCTGGTGCCTGGCTGATGGCAGGGAGCCCCAAGGGATGTTTGGCTCAGCCCTGTCCCTTTGAGGAGCCCTTTGGAGCATCATCTGCCCCCACGCCCACCTCTCCTGCCGGCAGGGCTGACATCACCTCTTGGCACCACATTTTGGTGTGGGCAGATGGTGTGGGAGGGGGTGGCGCTTGGCAGCTCCAGCTGGTCTGTGTGTCACCGTGACTCTGCCAGCTGGGGTGGGCACAGGGCAGAGTCCAGTCCATGGGGCGATGACCACTGCTCACCTGGGGACAGCCCCCAGCTGTGAGGAGACCCAGGATGCAGCCAAGGATGGGACTGGCTGGCTCAGGGATGAGGCTGTCTCTGGGATGGAGAAGTGCTGCGGTGCAGGGACACACCATGCAGGGGTGGCTGGAGCCAAGGTTAAGATGCTGCCATGGCTGTGCTGTCGGTTGGATAAAAGGGGCAACCCAGACCCAGTTGGGGCTGACATCCACGTAGTGCAGCTGCTCCCATGCCCGGTTTGTGCCCTGCAACGCTGCCCCTGTGCTGGCAGCGTGATCCAACCTGCCCCTCTGAGCCTGAATTCCAAGCTCTCCTCTCCAGTTTCCCAGGAGGGCACCCCCTTGCCCAGGTTACAGTCACACCTTCCTCCCTGTCCTCCTCCTCCTCCTCACCCTTCATTGCTTGGGAATGCTGCCCAGCTGCCCCGTGTGGGGCTGGCACCACTCCTGCCTCAAGGAACTGCCCTGGCAGAGAGAGTAAGACTCTCAATAGCAGCTTTATTTGGGGATTTTGCCTCAATTCCTGTTTCATCGACAAATTTCACCCCAAGGTGAGTGGCTGGCCCAGATCCTGCCGACACAGTCAAGTGAGATGGGGTGATGGGGGGCAGCCATGGAGAGACAGAGACCCCCAGCACTGGTTCAGTGGGGACAGGCTCTCCCACTTGCACCGGTCCTGATTGATACCTGCCAATGACCCCTGACAGGGGTTGGGCCCAGCCCAGTCTGTCCCAGCACCTTCGGAGGTGCCCACCCTGGGGAGTGGCTGCTGCCCTCCAGGCAGGGGACAGGGCCACTCTCACCCTGCAGGTGCAGCAGATGCTCCATCTAATGGCACCATGTCCCCAGGCTGGGCCATGAGGGCACCAGCCACCAGTGGCCAAACACTGGAGTGGGGCAGGGTCAACCCGTGCCAGGGGCTCCTGAGAGCCGGAGCTAAGGGGTCCCCAGTGCTGGCACTGGCCCCCACACGGGGAGCTGTGTGGAGGGACCATGTGCTTGCCCTCAGCACCCTCTCCATGCCCTCACCCTCAGCCCCCAAAGCCCTGTCCCCACCTTGTCCCTTCCTCAGGCCTCCCCAGAAGCCATGGCCCCCCAGTTCCTGCTCCCATCTCTTTCCATGGAAGAGTCACAGCTGGGGCCATGCCTCGAAGGGGTCAATGCATGAAAACAGTGTCATCCCCACACCCCACCCCAATGTCCCCAGCAGCACCCAGGGGCACTCCCAGCCCTCGGTGTCACAGGGGCAGGGCTGGGTGCAACTGGCCATGTTGCTGCTCCTTTCACTGGGTGGGAGAAAGGTGCACCCGGTGTCCCCCTCCCTGCAGGGCTGCACCCAGGGCGTCACCAAACAGGGACTCATCACGTTCAGGCTTGTTCAGTGCCACCCAGCCACTCGGTGACTGTGCCTGCAGGGCTAGAGGGAGCAGGGACACAGGGAATGGCATGTCCCCAATCACAGGGAGAGAGGGGAGACACCCTGATGCTTTGCCTCCCCCCCTATTTTTGTAGGTCCTACATAAACACAGGGAGAGCAGCGCATGGGCAGCATGAGGTTGCAGACAAAAGCAGCTGCCAGCCTGTCCGGCTCAGGGGGCTGTGGGGGGCAGAGGCAGAGGGTGAGACACATGATGCCACCATGTGCTGGGTGGTGGACCATCACGGTGGGGGCAGTCCAGGGGCTCAGATGTTCTGGCAGCAGGGGGTCTGCCGGCCCTCCTGCTGTGTGGGCAGCACCCGGATGGGCTCAATGGTGGTGCTGGGGCCGAACTCTGACTCCGGCTGCCCAGTGATCTGCCTCTGGGACACGATGCGGTAGATCTCTGCCAACAGAGAGAGGAAAGGAAGAGAAAAAACAATTCTTTAAGTACATATGTCAGTGGGGGACCTGCCCCCTCTCCAAACACACAGCTCCAGGGGTACAAATGCAAACATCTCCCCATCCAGGGAGAAGGATTCCACCCCAAATCCCACCCAGTACAGATGGGGTCCCCAGGAGGATACTGAGAGGACACAAGGTCCAAAGCCATCCCTATCCCTGCCCCCTCCCTTTCCTGGTTACCCCTTACCTGAGAGGATGTTGTGGAAAGCCATCTCCACATTGGTGGAGTCCAGAGCAGATGTCTCAAGGAAGGACAGCCCATTCTTCTCTGCAAGGACAGGGTGAGCTCAGATGGGTTCTGTGAGCTTCAGCCAGATGGGATGGGAGGGGATGGGATGGGATGGGATTGGACAGGATGGGGGAAGATACCTGCAAAGCTCCTGGCCTCATCAGTGGGCACAGCCCGCAGGTGCCGCAGGTCACTCTTGTTGCCCACCAGCATGATGACAATGTTGGCGTCAGCGTGGTCCTGCAGCTCCTTCAGCCAGCGCTCGGCATTCTCATACGTCAGGTACTTGGCGATGTCGTAGACAAGCAGAGCTCCCACCGCCCCCCGGTAGTACCTTGGGGACAGTGAGGGGACGGGGTCACAGCAGGGCCCCAGGTGAGAGCCACAGGTGGGGAGCAAGGAAACTCACGCTGAGGTGATGGCGCGGTACCGCTCCTGCCCGGCCGTGTCCCAGATCTGAGCCTTCACCGTCTTGTTGTCCACCTGGATGCTCCTCGTGGCAAATTCTACCCCGATGGTGCTCTTGCTCTCCAGGTTGAACTCATTGCGGGTGAAGCGTGACAGCAGGTTGCTCTTCCCCACCCCAGAGTCCCCAATGAGCACAACTGGGGGGAGCACAAGCACAGTGTCAGCTCCCCTAGACACCAGCAAAGCCACCCATCCCACAGCCCAGGCTCCACCTCTGTCTCCTCCAGGAGAAGCTGCTGGGTGAGGGGCAAAGCAGAGCAGGATCAGCCTCCTCCGTTCCTCCTGGTGGCATCACTACTGCCTATAAATACCCCTCAAGAAAATTTCTGCCATCAATGGGAAGTTGCCAGGGGTTTCTGTCCCAGCCCTGGAGACAGGAAGGTGTCGTATGCACTAATGTACCCAAAAGGGGCAGAAAACCAGGGCCGGGACCTGTGCAGGAACAGCCAGGCCAGAAGCCAGGCAGAGCCGGGGCTCCTCCTTCCAACCCTCTGTGGCCTCCCACCCTGAGGGCACACAGGAGGACTTAAAGACAAGGTCTGAAAAGCATCCTCCTCCTCCTCCTCCTCCTCCGCTGTTGCTGGTCCAGCCCGTGAGCCGGTAAGTCCCTGGATGTGGGTTAAGTGCATTTTCTGCTTGTCCCACATCTGGCTGGTTCCGGTAAAACCTGGTGCAACAGGCTCTGGGGAGCTTTATCACACACCTCCCCTGTCAAGTTTGTTGAGTTTATGACTCAACAGGTTTTCGTTTTTATTTTTTTTAATTTATTTTTAATTCCCTCACTGCCAAGCCTGTTCGTTCCCCAGGTGCACTCGGACACTTCACTTTGCCCACCCTGTCGGACACTTCTCCCCACCATGGTCAGACAACAGCTGAGGTCATGACCATCCAGTGACCACGATGGGGAGGACATCAGAGCAGCAGCATCAGCAAGGGATCACCAGGATGCCACATACTGCAGGAGTTACAGCAAGGCACAGCTACACTCAGCCAAGGCTCAGCAGACACCATCCTCCAAGGATGTTGCTCCATGTCCTGGATAACCCCTGCCCACCAGCTCCAGCTCATTGACATGGCTCTCTTGCATGGACTGGGGTGCAGAACATTCAACAATGCACCCACTCCCTTGCCAAAATCCTCAGTGAAGGGCGGCCAGCAAACAGCTTGGCTCCAGGAAGCCCAACAGCACATGGAGCAGGTCCCTGGGGTCACCAAGGACAGCTGGAAAGCACCTGAGCCTCACTGGCAATCACCGTGTCAGGACAGCCAGTGACAGAGGGAAGGGCAGCTCCTCCACAGCAGCACAGAATGGTTTGGGTGGATGGGACTTTAAAGCCCATCTAGGGGGTGCCCTGCCATGGGCAGGGACATCTTCCCCTAGAGCAAGTTGCTTCAAGTCCCATCCAACCTGGCCTTGGACACTTCCAGGGATGGGGCAGCCACAGCTTCTCTGGGCATCCTGTGCCAGGGTCTCACCACCCTCACAGCCAAGAATTTCTTCCCCATATCCCATCTAACCCTGCCCTCTGGCAGTGGGAAGCCATTTTTCCCTTGTCCTGTCACTCCAGACCCTTGTCCCAAGTCCTTCTCCAGCTCTCCTGATGCTCCTTTAGGCACTGGAAGGGGCTCAAAGGTCTCCCTGGAGCCTTCTCTTCTCCAGGTGAACACCTCCAGCTCTCCCAGCCTGTCTCCAGAGCAGAGGGGCTCCAGTGCTCGGAGCAGATCCATGGGCTTGTCTGGACTCACTCCAGCAGCTCCACATCCTTCCTGTGCTGGGGCCCCAGGGCTGGAGGCAGCTCTGCAGGGGGGCAGAATCCCTGCCTTGCCCTGCTGCCCATGCTGGGGGATGTGCCCAGGACAGCATTGGCTTCTTGGCTGCTGCTCACTGCATGGAGGTCTGGGAGGACTGTGACAGTCTGCAATACTCTGGACCAGCCGACAGGAAAATGCAGGCCAGTGATAAGCCAGGCTCATTAACACTTCCTGAGCATCGAAGCTTTGATCTGGGCTCAGTCCTTAACCAAAGGGAAGTTGCTGCTTCCCCAGCTAAACTCCCAACTGCAACTCCCGAGCTGCAACCCCCATCCCGGCAGTGCCGTGCTCCATGGCAGGCTCCAGAGGGCTTTGGACCACACCATGGATGCAGGGAAGGGGTGGGTGGGCAGGGCCCTGCAGGCTCCAGGGGAAATGTGCTGAGCCTCATCCCCCTGAGCCTGAAGGGCGAGAGGGGCTGGAGCAGCAAAAGCATTTGACACACTCCGTCCTCATTGCCTTCAAACAGGCATCCTGCGAGCACCAGCAAACATCCTCAGCACACCGTGTCCCACTGCAGGGGAGGGGGTGGAAACAGCCTGTACCTCCACACAGGGCCCCAAGGAGGGCTCCCAGAAGCAGCCATGCCCAGAGCTGTGTCTCATCCACCCTGAGCCCCTCCAGCAGCATCAGGGCCTTCCCACAAGCACAGCCGGAATGAGCATCACAACAGTTGATGCTCCTGTCTCAGTGAAAGCTGGAATTATGCTGCTTTCCAGCTGTGATCATGTTCCTTCTCTCAGGGGAGGAGTTGAGCTGTTGTAGCCCAGGAGTACCAGCCCAGCTCCATGCCCCTGGACACAGGGAACGGATAGGCACAGGAGGATCATGTGCTGGAGCCCCCTCAGAGCTGTTCTGCTGGCACAGCACCGGCCAGGAAGTGCAGGACACAGAAGCCGGGGGAGCTCCTGCCTGGGTGCCTCGCTCAAGGCACCACCCAGCATCAGAGTTTCCCCCTCACCAGGTCCCAGAATAACTCCAGGGAGGAGGATTTTCCTGGGCAGAGGCCAGGGGAGGTGTGTGAGGAGCCAGGGGCTACCAGCATGTCGCTGGTTGGAATTACATCGTGTCGGTGGCTGGAATTACTTGGGGCCTTTCGGGCAGGGCTGTGTGGGCAGGCTGACTCACGGCCGCCCGCCGGTGAGCTCACGCCCCGGTTTTATGGCTCAGGAGGTTGTGGCGTTGCTAAGATGTCCCCTGGCTTTGCCAGCACCCACTCTGGCCCAAAATGTCCCCTTGCTTCTCCAGCACCTGCTCCAGCCACAGCAGATGGTAGGGAAGCCTGCCATACACAGGGATGGGGATGCTCCACAGGGGTGCTGGGCTCCCATAGCCAGGAATGCCAACACTGTGTCTCCAAGGGCCAGTCCCTGTCCTCCTGTGCACATTGGAGGTGTCCCACCAGGACCAGCACCAGGAAGGACAACCCCAGATCCCAGGATCCTTCCCCTCCACCAATGCTGGGGGTTGGCACAGTTTTCCCTCCTGGGGTCTCTCACTCAGCCCCCAGACATGCTCCCCCCAGGCAGCCCGGCAGAGGAGAGGACTCACAGGTGCTCAGGGGCAAGCATAGCACCCACAGAGCCCCACAGAGCCCCACAGACCTGCCTTGCCCACCGCCCCCAGGGACCAGCACCCTGCCGCAGCCACGGCCACCCCTCCCAGGACACTGCATTCAGGCGAGGGCTCCAGCCTCCTCCCGCAGCAGTAACGAGCTGCTGTAATTAGCACTGGGACCACAAACCATCAGCCCAGCTCTAAGCAAACCCTCAGACCATGGCAGCATTTCAACCCCAGTCCCACCAGTACCCACTCCCTGCTCAGCAGAGGGAAACGTCACAACAAGCCTACATGCTGGTCCCCAGCACTGGGAACTGGGTGTTATATCCCAGTACAAGCTTCCAGCCCCATCCCAAGGGTGCTGCATGGAGCCAGCCCTGCCAGCAGGAGGCTGAGACTGGCACAGCTCACTACAGGCATGGCCAGCACAGCACAGGCAGGAGACCCACCTTTGAAGAGATAATCGTACTCATCGTCCTTGCCTCGCATCTCGCCCGGCACCACAGCCCCACTCCCACTGGGCTAACCGGGATTTCCAGGCCTTATCCAGCCCTGGCAGGGGCTGTCCCGTGCCACCCATTGGTGGCCACAGCCCTTCCTGCTCCACACCCATTGGCAGCTGGGGCTGCCCGTCATAGCCCAGGTGTGCTCACCTGGGCTAGGTAAGGGGGGGCAGGGATCTGCACAGCAGCAGGTACAGGCCACCACCTGTGTTTGCCACTGACAGGGACGGTGATGGCCACACACTCCATGCAGAACCATGGCTGGGACAGGGACCTGGGCAGGGCACAGCTGCCATGGTGCAAAGGGAAAGTGAGTGAAGACATGGAGAATCCAGCAGGAATTTCCGAGGGGTTTCAGATAACTGGCGGGGGCTGCATCATCGTTTGGACCAGTGAAGTCCAAATGGGGGATGTGGACTGGTAAAGGCTGCCTGGGGAGGGGCTGCAGGGGGAGTACGGCTTTGGGGTGGGAGGGGGCACAGAGGAACCATGGCATTGGTGTGGGAGGGGGCGCAGGGGGGCCATGGCATCCAGCTGTGCTGCTTTGGAGGCCACTGTGTCCAGCACATTATGAAGGTGGGGACCCAGGGAGTCGACCACAAACATGCAGGAATTCCGGCTCAGCAAACCTGCATTTCACAAGTCCTTTAATGATTGCATCACCCCTTCTCTGGACACAGAGCTGTTGTTCCTGGCCCCGTGGCACCGGGCCCTGCAACGAGTCCTGTCCCACCATGCAGACAGCAGGGACCTTCACTTGGTCCTACTGTCACACTTGCCCATGTTTGGGATGGGACAGAAGTGAGCCAAGGGCTGAATGCTGCCACTCACTCCTTAGGGCTTGGCTCAACTCCAGAGCAGTCCCTGGCAGGATGGACACCTGTGGGTCAGCCACATCCCCAGCATGTGGCACAGGAGCAACTCCAGGGCCAGAGGCAATCTGAGAGGCTCCTGTTGCTGGCATAACCCTGGCCAGAACCTCCTGGCTCCTTCCCCAGCAGTGCCTGAGAGGTATTCCAGTTTTCTGTCCTGCAGGTCCAGAGGGACTGGGACAGTGCATGATGGTGGTGATACTAATCAGGGCCCGGTAAAAACAAAACAGAGAGAGAAGAGCTCCCAGCACAGGTGCTTCTCACCATTTATGGCAGAATTTGGCCCCTGTCCAGGCTGCTGGTCCCCACTGCACCAGGACGAGGGTGGCACCACAGGCAGCACAGCCTGTGCTGGTAGCCAGAGGCAGACCCAGCTCTATGCCATTGGCATGTCCCGGGATTGTGGGGTTCCCTGGGGGCTTCCCAGGCGCCCGGCTGGTTCAGAGGGCCACACAGCATGGGCGCCTCTCCGCCTGTGCTGGGGCCGTGCTTGCAGGGCTCTCGCTGGCAAGTGACACCGTGTTGCTTTGGCTGCTCCTCTGCTTCTGTTTCTGCACTTTGTGGAAGATCTCTGCAAAAGAAGAGGTGCTGGGGAGTCTGTGTGTCAGCCCAGGCCCCTGGGGAAGCAGGGACAGCCTCAAGCCTGCAGCCCCTGCTGTTCGCCCATGGCTCTCCTTCCCCTCTACGCAGCAGAGGGGTGAGTTGAGAGGTGACAAAGGAGCAGCTCTGCCAGGTTGCATCCCTGTGGCACCAGGGGAACACCCTGTGCTTAGGCAATTTCCTCTTGCCCAACCTGGGATTAGTGCTTTGCCCTGCATCGGGGCTGGCAGCTCACCGGGCCAGGCTGGCTCGGCAGAGCCCGGCACAGCATGGCACAGCACAGCATGGCTTGGCATGGCACAGCACATCTGGCAGACCTGGTGCTGCTGGCTGCCGTTCCTGGAGAGCTGCTCCTGCATAAGCCAAGAATCACCCTCCTCCATCCCTATCCCCAGGTCCCCATGGCCAGTTCAGCAGGGTGCTGGAGACGTTGAGTCAGGAGCCAAGACAACAGGAAGGGGACTGGAGATTATGGGGGAGAAGGAGCCTCTGGGGCTTTGGGAATGCCCAAGGGCCATGAGAACAAAGCTGTGGGTGTGGGGAGAGAAACGCCCAGCACCAAAGGCTGGAAACCAAACCAGCCAGAAAGCCAACACCGAAACCAGCCCCAAAGAGCTCAGGTGGGGCAGGGCAGAGGAGAGAAGCTCTGCACATCCTTTGCCCAGCACTGCGTCCCCGAGAATGGACCCTGCAATGGCCCAGGACCCTGCTGCACCACGGCACCAGTGCCCATACCCTTCAGGATGGTCTCGAAAGCCTGTTCAACGTTGGTGGAGTCCAGCGCTGACGTCTCCACAAATAGCAGCCCTTTGTTGTCTGCAAATAGAGGAGTCCCTGAGACAATGCAGACTCCAGAAAGGGCACGGCTCCATTCTAGAGCCCCTTTAGAGATGTTCAGGTACCTGCACTGGTGCAGGTCCCTGTTGCCGGGGGGGTTCCCAAGCCCCCAGCCCCTGTGGCAGGGTGCCAGCCTGTACCTGCAAACATTTTTGCCTCCTCCATGGGCACCTCCCGAGCCTGTGCGAGGTCGGTCTTGTTCCCCACCAGCATGACGACAATGCTGGCCTCGGCATGGTCATAGAGCTCCTTCAGCCAGCGGTCCACCACATCATACGTCTGGTGCTTGGTGATGTCAAACACGACCAGGGCACCCACGGCCCCCCGGTAATACCTATGGCAGAACCCCACCATCACCTCACACTCCGGACATCCTCCTCAACACCTCACCCATAGGGCTCAAGTATGAGGGCATCACCCCCCAGGTCCCAGAGGAGCCCGGATTTCGGGCATCCCATCCTTACGCTGACGTGATGGCGCGGTACCGCTCCAGCCCCGCAGTGTCCCAGATCTGAGCCTTCACCACAGCATCTCCCACGAGGATTGTGCGGGTGGAGAACTCCACGCCGATGGTGGTGCGGCTGTCATGGTTGAACTCGTTGCGGGTGAAGCGGGAGAGCAGGTTGGTTTTGCCCACCCCGGACTCCCCAATTAGGACGACTGTGGGAGGAAGGAGAAATCCCACTAGACTGCCCCGCTACTGGCATTGGCTGCATGGGCATCACTCATTGCCCAGTGACCCCAGAATGGGCACAGAGGCTGGGCAGGTGTGTGGGCTTAACACCTGGTGTGTTTGCTCTTTCAGCAAACTGGGGTCTGTCCCTGTGCCATGAGCTCTCAGCCCCTTGAGTGTGGCTGAGCCACCTTGGCGCAGCCCAGCTATGCTCCCCATCTGCTGGTACAGTCCCAGAGCTGTTCATAAGTTACCAGGCTCTGGGCAGCAGGAGCAGGGTGAGGATGCTGGTGAGCCCTGGGTCACCCTGTTGCAGAGGGCACCCAGGATGGGTGGCACACCAGAGCCTGTCCGTCTCTGCTTGCCAAAGGAGAGCTCTGAGCCCCTGGGGGGTCTGGCCAGTAGCACTCAGCAGAGACACAGGATGCCAGGGCCCTGTGTCTGAGGAGCTCAGGCTGGAAGGTGTGAGGCTGTGCCCCGGTTTCTCCAGCCTAGGTTTGACCCCCATGTCCTCTGCATGTGCCACCGCCCTGGTCACCACAGCAGAATGACTTTTCAACGCCTGCTGCTCGTGGGAGTTACGGGCTCACACTGCCTTTATGTCTCACATGCTCAACCCCAGCTGTCACAGCCCCTACACCTCACACCAACAATTCACCCAGCACCCCACCTGAAGCCTTGGGGTATGTGGATCTCCCCATGACTCCATGGATCCAGATATCGCTTGTCAGCCCTGGCCTCGCTGCTGTCAGCTGGGGACACGGCCAAGGCCAGTGCCTGCTCCCCAACTCCCTGACCCTTTGCAGCTCTAGTGCCCATCACAGCTGCACAGACAGTCAACAACATCCCGGTTCAGGACACAGCAGCCCCGGGGGAAGCCACCCCAGTTCCCTCCCCTAGCCCCTGGCCTCCTGCTCCATCCCTTTAGGGGAAGGGGGCTCACATCGAGCGCAGGACTCACCCTTAAAGACAAAGTTATAATCCTCCTCGGCGCTGCCCATGTCGCCCCGGCTGCCGCCCGCCTTCGCGGGGCCACCGCTGGGTTTCCTCCTTCCCGCTGCCAAGCCTCGAGCAGACGGCGGGGCGGGCCGAGCTCCCGGAGGCGCCGAGGGAGGAGACGGAGCGGGCAAAGGTTCCTCTCCGTCGGGGAGCGGGTGGGAGAAGCGAGGGGGGCCCAGGGGGCGCGAAGGGTGGCGGCGGTGGCGGCGGGGCCGGCCGGGTTGGCAGCGCAGCGCGGCCCTTGACTCGAGGGGTGGGACCGGGTGTCGCAGCGCAGGTTGGGCAGGTAGTGTCACCCCTGGGACCGTCACGGGGTGGCCGGAGGAGGAGCCGGGGCCTGATCCTGCCTGAGCGCGGGGCAGGCTGGGGCAGCGAGGGCAGCGTGAACAGGATGGTCAACATGGGCAGTGAGGGGTGCGAGGGCAGCGTGGGCAGAGAAGGGCAGTGTGGGCAGCGAGGGGGGCGAGGGCAGTCGTGGCAGAAACAGAGCCCCCCCTCCCCAGCCCAGCTCCTGCCGACTCTGAACGTTCCCTCGCCTCTGCTGCCATCGTGTGAAAGTCGGGAAAACTGGGACGGGAAGGAGCCCCCGCTGCCCTCGCTACCCCGAGTGGCTGGGCAGGGCTGTCGGGGGGCTCGACTTTCTTGTACCCATCTCCCTTGACACCAGCCCTGTTTTTCTCTTGGGTCTCTGTTCACTGCAGAGCAACAGGAGCCCCAAAACACCGCCCAGGCCCCCCTGGCCTGGGGATCCCACCGGGATGCTTTAGCCTACCAGCTCCCCCTTTTATTCACAACAGACACAAGCATCAGACACATTTTTATTACCCCCAGCTTTTGTGCTCCCCCCACCTTATTTTTAAGGCCACATCAGAGCTCTGGGATGCTCATGGGGCCGCTCACCCTTCACCCACGCCAGTGATGGTGTCAAAGCCTGGCAGCACCTCAGAGCCCTCTGCTGCCCTGCTCAGGATGCGGCCACCTGTGTGAGTGGCTCCTCCAGGTACTGCACCAGCGCCTGCGCCTGCAAGCAGAGAGCAGTGTGAGCCGTGCCCACGGGGGTTTTGCCACCTTTGTGCCCACTGCCCATGTGCTTATTGTAATTTATACTTCAGTTTAGAGCCTTAAAAAGGTGTGGTGTGGTGCCTGGGTGGGCATGGGCGACGGAGGAGCCTCTGCAAGGAGGAAAGAGGCATCCCAGGCATGGCAGCTTCCTCCAGTCCTCCCATTCCCATCCTCAACAGCTCCTTCCCACACCACAGCAGGGACTCAGCCCTGCAGCCCCCCAGACTTCCTCCCCACCACCATTACCTTGGCCTTCAGCATTCCAAATCCCACTGTTTCCTTGGCATACATGCAGAGCAGCAGGTTTGCCACCCGTGTGATGGCCACTCGCCCCTCCTGCCCAGGGAGAAACAGCATCTGTCACATTCCAGCTTGGCCCGGACCATGGGCAGGGTCTTGGGGGACTCCCAGCACCCCAGGGAGGGGAGGGCAGCCCCCAGCCCCACGTACCATGCAGTCCATGAGGATGAATTTGAGGTTGTCCTCATTGAACGCCTGGTGCCCATTCTTGTCGTAGGCCACCCAGATGTTGCTGGCAATGGCTGCGGTGACCCTGGCATCGGTGTCCCCGTAGCCAGAGTAGGCCAGCAAGGAACCCTCATTGTTCAGGAGCCTGGAAACAACATGGGGGGTGAACAGGTGCCTCTAAATCCAGTGGGGCATCAGACCCCACTGCAATGCCAGGGGCAGAGTGAAGCCCTGCCCGGTCCCAAGCGCTGCTCCCTGGACACCCCCACTTGGCAGGCGGTGTGGGGGCTTCAAAGCCAGGAAGCTCTCGGGTGGTCCCAGGCCCAAGCAGGGCTTGAGTGGCTGCGTCTGTTGAAGCAGTGGGACCTGCTGCAGAGCAGGCACGAGCCTGGTGGGCAAACCCTGTGCACGCACGGCCCTGGCACAGTGCACGGGGATCACAACACTGCACACCCGTGTCACGCACGGCCCCAGCACTGCCCATAGCCCAGCACCATGCAGGGTGTGTGAGCATACCCCTGGTGGGGCCCCTCACCCTCCTGGGCCAGGACAGAGAGCATCCCTGGGCAGGGGCAGGGACAGGCAGCACCCCAGGCAGGGACAGGAGCAGGAGCAGGGAGCATCCCTGGGAAGGGACTGGAGCAGGGGCTGGGGGCAGGAGCAAGGGTAAGCAGCATCCCTGGGCAGGGCCTGGCAGCATCCCCAGGGCAGGAGCAGGGGGCAGGGACCGGCGATGGGGCAGGAACAGGGGCAGGGGAAGGAGCAAGGGCAGGCAGCATCCCCAGGCTGGGGAGGCATCTCTGGGCAGGGGAAGCAGCATTCCCAGGGCAGGGCTGGGGCAGAGGCTGGGGCAGGAGCAAGGGAAGGCAGTATCCCTGGGCAGGAGCAAGGACAGGGACAGGGGCTGGGGCAGGGGCAGGCAGCATACCTGGGCAGGGACTGTGAGCATCCCCAAGGCAGGGGCACGGGGGGGACAGGGACAGGGGATGGGGCAGCAGCAAGGGCAGGCACAGCATCCCCTGGGGCAGGGGCAAGAAGCATTCCCAGGGCAGGGCAGGGCTGGGGCTGGGGCAGGAGCAAGGGCAAGCAGCATCCCTGGGCAGGGCCTGGGAACATCCCCAGGGCAGGGGCAGGGGCAGAAGCAAGGCAGGGGCAGGGGCAGGGGCAGGCAGCATCCTCGGGGCAGGGACAGCATCCCCAGGGGCAGGGCCAAGCAGTATTCCCAGGGCAGGGCAAGGGCAGGGGCTGGGTGCATCCCCCGGGGCAGGAGCAGGAACAAGGGAAGGCAGCACGCCCGGGCAGGGGCAGCATCCCCCCTTCGCACCGCCTGCCGCAGCCCCCGGGCGGGGGAAGCCGCCCCGCTCCCGCAGTGCCCCCCGCACTCACAGCGTGCTCTGGACGCCGCCGGTGTTGGCCTGGCTGAGCACCTGCGTCAGGGCCTTGGGCCGCAGCATGGCCGCCCCGGCTGCGCGGGCGGGGCCGACGCGGGGCCGACGCGAGGTCGCGCCGCGCCCGGAGCATCCCGGGGACTGTAGTTCCCGGCCGGGTCCGGACCCCCAGAAAGGCCTCGGCAGCCGGAGGGGACACGGCGCGGGCCTGGGACCGCGGTGACACCGCGGGGATCCGGGATGGAGCCGCGTACCGAGGGGGTCATTGGGGGCACCGGGGGCCCCTGCGGGCAGCACCCCCTGTCCACTTTGCCCCTGCCCGCTCTGTCCCTGCTCGTTCTGCCCGTGCCCGCTCTGCCCGTGCCCGCTCTGCTCCCCCACCCCTTTCCTTCCCCCTTTGCCCCCCGAGCCGCCCACCCCCTGGCCCTCCGGGGCGCCGGGGGGCGCTGTCGCGGGACGCGGGGAGGGGGCCGGGGCGGCGCTCGCTGGTCTCTGTGGTGGCGGCGGCCCGGGCTGGCGGCGGGCGGCGAAGATGGCGGAGCCGAGCGGCGGCGGCGGCCCCGGGCCCGGGCCCGGCGGGGAGGGCCAGGCGGGGCCCGGCGGGGCGCTCATCCGCGTCACCGTGAAGACCCCCAAGGACAAGGAGGAGATCGCCATCGCGGACGGCGCCTCCGTGCGCGAGGTGAGGGCGGGGGCGGCCGGAGGGGGCGGAGGGGCCTGGCGGGGGCGTGAGGGGCGGGGGGGGCTGGTGCGGGGGAGTTCACGGGGCCGGGGAGCGGGGTGAGGGGTTTTTGGAGAGCTAGCTGAGGTTTGTGACGGGGAGGACTTTCGGGGGGACGTGAGAAGCAGGGGAAGGGGAGCTTTGGCTAGGGGGGTGTCAGGGCGTTCGGTGGAGCTCTCGGGGACCAGGTCAGAGCTGGGGGGGTCCTGGGGGCAACCCGGGCCTTTGGGCCTTGTTGGAGCCAGGCTGGGAGGGAGCCGGGAGACCGGGGGAGGGTAGGTGCTGGGGGGCTTTAGGAGAGGACAGTCCCGGGCGGGGGGAGTTGGTCCGGGGTGGGAGGCACCCGTGGGAGAGGTCGTGGATGTCGAAACCACGTTTGTTGCGGGCGTGTGAGGGGTGTGTGAGGGCTCGGAGCGCGGCTTTTGGGGGGGTGGCGGTTGTGGGAGGGGTGTGAAGGACGGGGTGGGGTCTGGGGGCTCGGCCCGTGGGCTGGGCAGCGGGGGAGTGGGAGGGAGGAGTTCCCTGAGCGGGGCGGGGTGGGAAGGGTTTTGGAATTGCGGGCAGAGCCGGCTGGGTGCGTGGGGAGCTGCAGGGGGGGAAAGGTGGGAGTCGTGGGGTGGGTCTGGACCCCCCTGGAGGCGGATCCCCGAGACGAGGGGAGAGGAGCCGGGCAGGTGTTTGGGGACAGGGTTGGATGGGGAGGAAGAAAAGGAGCATCAGCCCTTCCAGGGGTGGGCTGGGTTCTGCTCCTGCTAGGGAGCAGGAGGGGGCTGGGATTGGCAAAGGTTGGGATTGGCAAGGGCTGGCTCCGGGGCTGGCCCCAGTGCCGTGGAAGTGGCAGTGCCCACTGGGATAAGGTGTCATTGCACACGTCGGTCGAGCACAGGGCATGAGGTTGGCCTGTGAAGGACCTGGCAGGAATCTCTGGGCAGCAGGTCACGGTGTGGGCACGGGCTGTGCACATGTGGCCCTCCTGCTCCTTCCTCTGCCGGCTCCAGGGAGCCCATGGCTACAGGGAGTGTGGAGTGAGGGCTCTGTGCAAGGGTGGGACGTGGAGCTGTGCAGGGAAGGCACAGAGCTGTGGGGCCAGGGTGATCTCTGGGCCCGGGCTATGCTCTCCCCAGCCTTGTTTTTAGGGTTCTGGCGTGAAGACTGTGAGCTCTGGGGCAGACATGGGCTTTGCACTCTGTGCTGGCCTTCTCTGAATTCCCTGTAATTTGTGGCTTTCAAGTGCAAGGCTTTGTTTCCTCCAAATCAGTTTGGGAATGCCCTGGTGGGGCCAGCAGTGACAGCGGTGTTGGCAGGTGTTAATCCCAGCACACCACACAGTAAGGAAGAGATGCCCGTGCTCCGTGGCGCGCTCACAGGGAATTCGGTTGCAGAAATAGGCATTGGAGAAGACCTAGTTTATTTCTATTGGCTGATAAAGGATTGTTCCCTTTTCCATAGAGCTCTGTCCTGTATTGAATCAGAGTTAGGCTTTCCTTAGGAAAAAAGCTCAAATAAGCAGAGACAAAACCAGTTCAGTCATTCAGAATAAATGGTGTGTTTGGGTTAGGCCTGAGA